AATTTTTGAGAGAAGAAGGGGAAAAAAACCCTACATTACTTGGAGAATTACTACAAAATGTTTAAACCATGTGAATTTGGTAGGCTAAGAGATTTCTCCTCAGGGGCCTCACCTATAGGATACAACCAGACACCGACTTCAAAAGAATTTATTCTTGAGATTAATAAACCTAAAGAAGTTGAGAAGTTATAGGAAATATACCACTTGGAAGAATTTCCTATCCTGAGAGAATGTGCTGGATCAAAGAGACTTTTTTCACCTCCTTACTAGCATCTGTAATGAAAGACCTAAACTTTTATTTTAAGCAACAACAAAAAGTATTGAATGAGCTGTTTTCCCATCCCTTAAAACCCATAGGGTTAACATCATGTTTGGAAGGAATTTCCATTAAACTGGCTTGGGTGTCATTCTTAGATTTTGTTGCATTAAAAAATGTTAGCCGGGACACCTGGATGACTCAGCGGTTGAGCATCTGCCTTCGACCCAGGTCATGATCTTGGGGTCCCGGGATCGAGTCCCGCATCGGGCTCCTTGCAGGGAGCCTACTTTTTCCTCTGCATGTGTCTCTGCCTCTCTCTCTCTCTGTGTCTCTTATGAATAAATAAAATCTTTTTAAAAAAACAAAGTTAGCCAAGCAGCACACACATCCTTTCCCCCAGGACTTGGCCCCGGTCCCCCGATGTCCATGCCTGCCTCCTGGGCAGCCGCATGCACCAGAAGGCAGGCCGTAGACCCAGCTCCCAGGCTACCAAGGCCTCAGGCAGAAGGACAACCCCATCTTCTGTGCCAGCAGTCGTGGAAGGGAGGCCAAATTCACCAGCTCGTAGCTAGCAGCACAGCGTAGGGGTAGCAGACGGCAACAAGCTGATTTCCTCCAGCAAGGGCCAGGGCAAGTACCCCTGAGGGGTTTCAGAGGGTTCCCCTAGGCGGCTGCAGGGCCTGCCTGACAGCTGTGGCAGACTGTGACAACCACCAGGTCAGCACCCTTTGCCCTGAGGGCTAGTTGAAGACAGATTGGAGGCACACCTGGGTGGCTCAGTGGTTGAGCATCTGCCTTTGGTGCGGGTCATGATCTAAGATTTTATTTATTTATTCCTGAGAGACACAGAGGCAGAGACACAGGCAGAGGGAGAAGCAGGCCTCCTGCAGGGAGCCCAAAGTGGGACTCGATCCCTGGACTCTGGGATCACACCCTGAACCAAAGGCAGACACTCAACCGCTGAGCCACCCGGCGTCCCTAAATAAATGAAATCTTAAAAAAAAAAAAAAGACCGAGATTGGAGTCGGCCACCTCCTGGGCCCCCAAAGTGGCCACATCATGGTGGTTGACAGGTTGTGTTTTCACCTTCCAGCCCAAGGGCATTTGGTAGGGCCCCGTTTTGTGGCTTAAACAAGAATGGGATCATAGTGCAGGAGTTCCAGAATCAATCCCGTGAAGGTGGGAGAGTGTGGGTGGAGAGTTCCTGTTCAAGCTTACTCCCCGGTAGCTGCAGACTGCGGAGGGGCTGGGGCGGAGCCAACAGCAGCATCCAGGTTATTCTGCACCCTGGCCCCTTCCAGTTCTGTATCAACGGTCTGCAGAACCCACGCGGGGTGCACAGGGACTAGCACCGGCCACGCGGTGGTGGCTTTTGCTGCTAACCACGGATTCAAGGCCAGTATGTATGGAACTGCACAGGGGCCCTGCCTAGCTCGCAAGGGTGATCCGTCAAGGTCAAGAGGGGCTGGCCAGGAGGTTGGGCCAGACCTGGCTGCACTGAAGGTGGGCTGTGGGCAAGCCTGGTGCCTTCATTCTTCCCCCTCCCAACACGGGGGTTGCAATTTTTGTATTCGATTCTACCTTTGGTGACTGAGTGGGCCTGGACTGTGGTCCAAGAATGCAGGCAGAGCTTCACCCAACCCTGCCCCGACCCCTTGGTCTGCACCCTTTCCCCCAGCTTAGGGCCATGACAGCCTCTCTGGGGCATTAGTCCCTCTGGTTGTCTTCCTACCACCCCATCCACATCGACAGAGATGGCAATACCTCGATTCTCTTATTAAATGTATACACATACACAAAGCCAACCGCAGGATGATACAGATTTTTTTTTTTAATTTTGTTTATTTATTCATGAGAGGCAGAGACATAGGCAGAGAGAGAAGCAGGCTCCTCACAGGGAGCCTGACCTGGGACTCGATCCCGGACCCCGGGATCACACCCTGAGCCCAAGGCAGGCGCTCAACCGCTGAGCCGCCCAGGCGTCCCGATGGTACAGACTTTGAGAGCACATTTCGCATTTACAATTACTTCATCAAAAGAAGTCTTGTCAGAGGTCTCCACAAAGAATTGTCTGATGGGCTATGACGTGTATAGTATCTGTAAAAACCCATATGGATTATTATTTTCTAAAATTTTATTTATTCATGAGAGACACACGGAAAAAGGCAGAGACACAGGCAGTGGGACTCTATCCCAGGACCCTGGGATCACACCCTGAGCCCAAGGCAGACGCTCAACCACTGAGACACCCAGGCGTCCTCCCATATGATTATGAGTTTATTCTTAGTCCTCCAAAAAACTAGAAGCAAACTACAGAGAAAAAGAAAAAATCCAGATCCCAGTGGAAGAAAAAACTATTTCTTGGCTTGTGACTGTCGGTCAGAGAACAATTTGGGGTTATTCCTTAACTATATCGTGAAATCTCACCTACTGCCAGGGTCAAAGATTGCTGTTCTACAGGGACATGGTCTATTAACTCCCTCCCTTCGTTTAAAACAAACCATGAGGGGATCCCTGGGTGGCTCAGCGGTTTAGCGCCTGCCTTCAGCCCAGGGTGTGATCCTAGGGTCTCGGGATCGAGTCCCACATCGGATTGAGTTCCACATGGGGCTCCCTGCATGGAGCCTGCTTCTCCCTCTGTCTGTGTCTCTGCCTTTCTCTATCATAAGTAAATAAATAAATCTTAAAACAAAACAAAACAAAACAAAAAATACAGCTGAGTGAAGTAAATCAATCGGAGAACATTATATGTTCTCATTCATTTGGGGAATATAAATAATAGTGAAAGGGAATATAAGGGGAGAAGAAATGTGTGGGAAATATCAGAAAGGGAGACAGAACATAAAGACTCCCAACTCTGGGAAACAAACTAGGGGTGGTGGAAGGGGAGGAGGGCAGGGGGTGGGGGTAAATGGGTGACGGGCACTGAGGGGGGCACTTGACGGGATGAGCGCTGGGTGTTATTCTGTATGTTGGTAAATTGAACACCAATAAAAAATAAATTTATTAAAAAAATACAATCTTAAAAAAAGAGAGATGAACATTTTGTTTTCGCATGAACCAAAAACCCTTTGCCCACATTTAGTATCTTTACTATTTCTTGAAAGAGATTTTGCTTAAGTCAAATCTCAGCATCACTGAATGATAGAATATGCTTTTAGAAGTAACATGATAGAAGCGCATTCACCTTCCACCAAAACAGTCTTTAAAAGGCCTACCTGGTTAAGAGCATTACAAACAATGGGCTAAGATCTGTTTTAACCCCCTGAAGGACTTGTCTATGTTTAGCTCTTTTCTACACAGACCACAAATTCAACTCTCAAAAACTTGTTTCTAAATGAAGGAGGACTAGAGGTGGCTCAGTTGGTAGAGCATGTGATTCTCTATCTCAGGGTTCTAAGTTTGAGCCCCACGTTGGACATAGAGATTACTTAAAAAAAAATCTTTAAAAATATTTAATTAGAAAAAGTAGATAGAGTCAGGTAGCAAGGCAGAAGCAAAACCAACACCAAAGAGAAAAATCCCACTCAAACATTTGCCAGTGGAAAAAGATTATTTTTACAGACCTTTCAGTTGTTTTTCTTCATTTATTCCTCCTGTGTGGCAGGTGCTGAAATCCCACCAAGAAACCAGGGGGAGGGGCAGAGAGGGAGAAACAGACACCCCACTGAGCCAAGGTGGTGCTGGATCCCAGGACCCTGGGTTCATAACTTAAGCCAAAGACAGCTGCTTAACCAGCTGAGCCACTTAGGCACCTCCTTACTGCTCATTTTTGTTGCGGAAGAAACATAACTGATCCCTGGCCCTGTGACTAAACTGGAATAAGAAGGGTTTAAAATTTTAGGTCCCATGACAGGATTTTCTCCTGTAACCTATACAGGAGATGTGGCTCAAATCAACCAAGCTTACTCTACAAATTTCATTCAAGTGGTGGATGTGCACAAGGGAGAAGAGCATGGATAGAAAGCTCTCCTTAGTAAACAGAAGTTACGGCTGCCTGGGTGGCTCGGCGGCTGAGCGTCTGCCTTTGGCTCAGGGTGTGATCCTGGAGTCTGGGATCGAGTCCGGCATCGGGCTCCTTGCAGGGAGCCTGCTTCTCACTCTGCCTCTCTCTCTTTGTGTCTCTCATGAATAAAAAATAATAATAATAAAATAACAATAATAATAAAAAATAAAATAAATAAAAATCTTTTAAAAAAAGGAAACCAAAGTTCTTCTGTGATGCAACATTAGCAAAGTCAGGCTCCATCAAAGATAAATGATTTTTTCATTCTTTAGAAAGATTTATTTTTAAGGAATCTCTATACCCAACATGGGGCACAAAGTCACAATCCCAAGATCAAGAGTCACATGCTTGGGGCACCTGGGTGGCTCAGCAGTTGAGCATCTGCCTTCAGCTCAGGGTGTGATCCCAGGGCTCTGAGATCTTGTCCCACATCGGGCTCCCCACAGGAAGCCTGCTTCTCCCTCTGCATGTGTTTCTGCCCCTCTCTCTGGGTCTCTCATGAATAAATAAATCTTAAAAAAAAAAAAAAAAAAAGAGTTGCATGCTCCACTGACTGAGACAGCGAGGTGCCCCTAAATCATTTTAAAGTGAGCAGGTTATGGTATCTAAGGTTCTGTCTAAAATCCCCTTTGCAAATAGAAGCGGAATCGGCACACAAAGCTTTAGACATTGGTGTGACACTATCGCCACCTTGTGTCCCCCAGTCTCCCTTACTGTAAAAGATCACACTTGTGATTCAGCAGTACAGAATATAGCTTTTATTTATAGAATCTTACAAATAAAACATTTACAGTCCACATAAGTTATTTTCTTTTCTAATTTATCCTCATTAACACCTGAGTTATTGAAAAAAAACACTGTGATGGAACTGCAGAACTGTAAAAGAAAAGATGAATAAAAACCTAACCTCGCTCTTTTGCAAAAATCAGACAGCTTCTTGTTTTTAAGCAGACTTCCAGAATACTACCATCTCTTTGGAATGGGACTTCCTAAAGACAGGTCTTAGGACACCCAGAGACGCCTCCTCTTTTAAACCCAGGGCAAAGAACCTATGAGGAAAAGCCCTGAGTTGACACTAGAAACAAAAGATCCTAAACACCTCTTGGGGGGGGGGGGGCGGCGGGGAGAGGACAAAAGGCAACCTGCTGGCCAGGGCAAGGGTAAAAGCAGCAGAAGCCTGCTCCTGGGTCACTGCTCCTATTCGTGATACAGGCTTTCCTAGTTGACATTAGGAGCTGGTCACCTGGGGAAAGATGTCAAAGGTGCTAATGCCAGGGGTGAACAAGTTCTCAAAGCTTGCTACTCTTCAGACTTCTAATATGTACAAATGCTTAAAACAGCAAATCCAATACTTCAAAGTCAAAAAGGAATTGCCACATTTTCAATGCTCGAGGCAAATCTGCTGCCAATGGCAACACAGACTCGATTGTACTATTTGCATGCCTCCACCCCTCCTGAGTTCCAGCCAGGACTGGTCTCTGGACCAATTACAGTTTAAAGAGAATTTCTCTTTGAGGCAGCTGTCTATGAAAGGAAAAGTTCTTAAGTTAATATAGATGTGCATGAAAAGGGAAAGCACCCTACTACTTCATACTTGATTTTTAAATTTGATAACAATTACATGTTCAAGCTCTTCTCCTAAAACTAGGAACCCACTACCTCTAACTTAGTATTCTACTCCAAGAAGATCGGTATTTGTAAGGAATGACGGATCTATAGGGAATGCTAAAATTATAAATTTCATACATTAATGTGAATTAGGGAAAGAAAAATCTCTGTAAAGTCTTAAAGTTTGTTACTGGCTGCTAGCTCCTGAAAGCAAAGTCAGACACAGGAAAATAAAACAGAGAAGACAAAGAACCGTTTTTAAAACAGCAACAACGATAATAAAAAACAATGATAATATAAAAAGTTAGATTCCAACATTCGAGGAATTGGTTCTTTGGTAAAATTGGACCATAATCCTATCAGGAGTCAGGCCTGATATTTACTCTAGAATCTTGAGAACTCAAGTTTTCCTTCTTCTTCAGCCCCTTCTCAAATCTCTCCAAGTCAACAGGCAAGAGAAGGAGAAAAACTTATAAAGCATAGCCAGCAGTGTTCCCGCTCATACTCTTTTCAAGACTATTCCTGATTTGAGGGCCATTTCCCAAGAAGAGGAAAAACCAAAAGAGATGTGGCTTTTAATTATTGTGTTGTGGAAAGTCTTCCTGTGTAAGAACAGAAAAGCTCACAGGTGTGGGCCATGACCAGCACACCTGTGAGTCATGCACACAAATCAGTTAGTGAGCACAGCCCCTGGGCTGCAACTGTGGGCACCACTAAAAAAGGCTTCTGGGGAGACTGGCTCCCCAAAGTGGCTAAGAATCTCACATTATCAATATGATAATAATAAATCAATTCACCTAGTGAACCTGGAGATGAGCTCCCCCTGAAGCCAGAGTTCCGAGGCAACGGCTCCACAGTGCCTGGGGCTGGCCTACAGTCTCACAGACAAGCCTATCAATCCATCTTCTGAAGAGGGTTAGAGCAATTCATGTTCCGTTCAGTCTAGGATTCGCCCTTTCTTGCTTGGGGTGAGGGAGGAAGGGGAACCTAAAACCCACTCGTGGCATCACCAGGAAGCTCCCGTTCTGCAAACATCTGCAGTGCCCCATCTGAGCACTTGGATCTTCCAACTCAGACTTCCATGACTCGTACTTTTTTATTTACGAAATCCTAAACTGTGCCCGCACCGATTCCATTTCTGATCACCTTTGTCTAAGAAGAGCATGATCTGCACCCGATTCTGCAAGTGATTGGATTGCCACTTTGCAGCAGAAGTGGTGACCAGGGGAGGGAAATTTGTGCAGTCTCCCCTCAAATACAAGACTGGGTGTGCTCAGAATGTGCTTCTATGGAGGCAGATAAAAATCTCTCAGAAGGGAGAGGGGAGGAAGGGGAGGTGGAAATCATAGCAAAACCAACTGGTATCTTGCAGGTCTCCATTCTTGGCCTTCCATTCTGTCAGTGTTAATGTAAAAGAAGGGGAGGTGGTCCAGGCAACTGGCCCCATGCAGCGGCCCACCAGTGGGGAATGCGAGCTCACTGGTACAGTCATGAGATCGCAGCTGCAGCATGCCAGGGGGACAGGTAACCATCATGACAGGGCACAACCATCACTGCTAGCCACCCACCTCGCACGCAATGATGATTCTTATGCTCCTCTCCTGCCCTACACGTGTTCCAACTTTCAGTTCTCTCTGAGAAAACAGGCAACTGGACAGACTTTGAAAAAAATAGGAGGGGTTCTTGTTCCCTGGACCCTTTCTCTGTAAAAATAGGTGAATCTACTTCAAAATGGGTCATCTTGAGGTCCAGGACACACATTTAGATTCATGGGCCCTGAAACCCCAGATTTGCCTCCCATTACTATGAACCAAGTCATGAACACTGGTGGTATTTTTGCATTGTAGGGCGATGGTACAAAACCTCTCAGTGCTGGTTCGAAGAGAAAGAGGCCAGGGTAACCAAAGAAAAAAGTTAGGCTTGCCTGCTAAGTAAGCTGCATTCAAGGTTCCAGGGTCAGTCTGAGAAAGGGGGAGAGATGGGAGAGAGGCACTACCTAGACACTGGTTGCCGGGGCAGCTTATTCCTAGGACAGAGCATGTGTAAAAACAGCTGACATCTGAATGCGGGAGTACAGTCCGTGTCACAGTCTTTAATACAACTGCCACTTTGGAGGTGCGTCGCGGGTGCCGAGTCCTTGGGCCAGGGACTGGGCGGCCCAGAGCCAACTTCCAATCCCACCGGCTCCTGGCAGGGCCCTACCCAATCTGGATCTGTCCTGAATACATAGTGAGGAGCAGCATGATGGTGAAACCCGTCAAGAGGCCCAGGTTCTGGATGACAAAGGGGATCAACACGCTCCCGTTCCTTTCATCCTCTTGGCAGACCTCATTCATCTCAGGGAACTGAGAAAGAGGAGAAAAACAAGAGAGCTAGAGTTCCTTTCCCAGCCTGGGGAGTCCAGGACAATTCAGTGAGAGACGGATCACACGGACGGACTCATCGTTATACCTATCCTAAGAATATCTGTATTAGAGTATGTCATGTATCATTCAAGTGTTATATTATAGGGAAAGAATATGTAAATGAGATATATGGATATTACATAGAAGTCCTTCACAAAAAACGCCAGCAGCAGTAGCCTTATCAGCTTTGGTCCAAGGTGGCTACTACTACTTTTCAACTACTGAGGTAAAAGTATCTGTGCATGAAACCCTGGATAGGTTTAGATGTTGGCTAAAAAGAACTGCTTTGATAAAAGTCAACTTTTTGCTATGGACTTGAAGAACACTCGAGAAGATCTTTTTGTTACTAAAATGCTGCTGCCACCTCTTTGGGAAATTCAGCAACTGTGTGAGGAGCCAGAGCTTGGAGCTATGAGATGGCTATGACTCAAGGTCCTGGGCTGCTGGCCAGCAAAGCAGGTGACAATGAACAGACTTCCTAGACCTCCTAATTCAAGTAATGCAAAAGAATATCCTCACCGTGGGAGGGGCTCCCCACAAGAGAGGAGGGAATTTAAAATGTTTCCAGGGAGTGAGGAGGGGTCATGGTGGTCAGCACTCTCATCACTGTACCAAAAGTATTATTTTCAAAGGATGTGGGAAATAAGTCATGCAAACATGCCAGAGAATGTCATGCCAACAAGAAATCAACCTCCATCTACAAAAGATGTAACCAATCAGGTATTTCATTAGCCAACTTAAAGCCACTTAAAAGAGTCACGCCAACGTTAGTGGATACAGTACCACAAATGTTGGCGGTCACCGCCGAAAGCAGTGACACTTATCAAAAGCCTCCAACCACAATACATCCTTCTTGAGCCAGCAATTCTAGTTCCGGAAAAGGTATCCTCTCACCAAATAACACTGCCATGGAATAGAATATGCTTCTAAAGGGTACACAACATGGAAAAAATGTCTAGGATACATGAAGTAAAAAAGGAAAGCAGAACATAAAAGTATATATTCAATGTTCATTTCTTTTCCTTCCTTCCCTTCGTTTATCTGTACATACTTACTCTGTAATACTTAAGTATTTAAGGAGCAGTGTGGGATTAAGGTTAATCATTTTCTTTAATAACACACGCTGGTAAGTTTTTTGTCCTTTAAAATCCAATGTCATCTTTAAAAGTACTGAACTGTAGACCTTAAGTAGGTGATTGTGTGGTAGGAGTGATTCCTCAACAAAGCTGTTACTAAAAACAAACTCATGTCCTCTTGGCTGCCTCTCGCCCAGTGAATAACCCAGTCCCTCCCATGGTGCTTACATGGCATGAACTATGGAAGACTTACCATATCAGCCAGAGCAATATACAAGAACATTCCTCCAGCCAGTGCAAAGATCCAGTTGGCAGAGAAGTGGCTGCCAGCCAGGATTCCAAAGGCCAGACCCACGTAACAGCAGCAGGCAGAAAGGAAGTTGAAGAAGAGAGCCTGCTGGATACTCATCCCGGCATTGAGCAGAATGACAAAGTCTCCTAAGGGAGGACAAGAGGGAAAGGTGAGGAAGAGTTACTCTAGGTCACAGACAGAGAACGTGATGAGGACAAACTGTTTCAGCTATGCATCATGTCTTGGGGGAAAAAAAAAATCAAGACAGCCTCAGGCCTGAGACTGCAATGACAAGTCCAAGGCACCCTTTCCTCTTCACATCTAGGAGCTTTCTCCATTTACAAAAGTAGCCATGCATTTCCAGCCTAGAGGCTGAAAATGACACACAGGATTTTCAACATAGATAAGCAACTAGCAAGAACCTCACTGCTCTTTAGATGGATGGTGAAATAGGAGCTTCTTTCCTCACAACTACACTGAATGGTATTCTCAGAAAACCAAAGTGACACTGAGAGAAGTTAAATAATTTGCCCGAAGTCACAAGCCAGTAGATTGGCAAAGCCAGGACCTGACCTTGAGTTTCTGAGCCTCTGAAGTCTGGGCCTTTTACATTCTTGCTCTGATAAAACTAAGGACTTCCTAACTCCCGGCTCATCTACTTCTTCCACCCACTGACCTCTAACAGACATCTCAATCTAGTAAGATTGATAGGATGTAAGAGATAACCTTAAAGAGAGAGAGAGAGAGAGAGAGAGAGAGAGAGAGAGAGAGAGAGAGAGAACCTACTCTGAACACTTAGAATACACATGGCACAAAGCAAGTCCTTTTCACTGTTTTTGCTCCTTTAATCCTCATGAAAAATCTATGAAGTATTATTATTAACCCCATTTTAGAGGTGAGGAAACTGAGCCACAGGGAAACAAACACCTCTATAAAAATGTCCATCATTTTTGGGGCACCTGGGCCTCACTCAGTTAGGTGTCTCTTGATTTTGGCTCAGCTAATCTCTGGGTTGCAGGATCAAGCCCTGTGTCAGCCTCCATGCTTAGTGTAGAGATGGCTTGAGATTCTCTCTCCCTCTTCCTCTAGCCCCCCCACCCCCACTCTCTCTCAAATAAATAAGAAGGGTGCTGTGCCAACAACCACAGCAGCGCAGGTACAACAGGAATGGCACAGTGCAGGCATTCTTACCTAGCTCATGTGGGAACTCCTCGCAGAGGATGGCCACTGAGGTACTGATGCCTTGGAAAACAGACACGGTGAAGGAGGCACCAATAGCCAGGCCATCAATGAAATTATGGAGGCCGTCGCTCAGGGTGATCATCCAGGCCAGAGTGCCGATATCAGAGTAGCGGACGCCTTTGAGCCAGTAGCAGGCACTCTGGGAAGCCTGCAAGTCCTACAACAGAGCCCATCCCCATGGCCCCCAGGTCAAAGGGTGGAGGATGGTCCTTCAAGGTAAGCCTGAGCCATCAAGGCCATTAATAGTTAAAGGCTCCCACCCAACAGCAGACGGCCCACTGACCTGGACAGAGAGTGAGCCCACGATGACCTTCTCGTCCATCACGGGGGCCTTCCCATCCAGCTCACTGCTGCAGTGCTGAGGAATCATATGGTCCAAATCCCCATTCTGCAGCTTCTCGGTCACCCCCTCCTCCTGGTCCTTCTTGGAAGGAAGTGTCTCAGAGGCATAATGGCTATGTCCATGATGATGCTGGAGGGGCCATCAGGAGGGATCAGCATGACACTCACCAAAACCACAAAGCTTCCTGAGCACTCACTATGGATAAGTGCTCCCAGCAGAAGACCTCCTCCTTCCCACCATCAGAGAAAACACAAGCAGGCAATACACACAGGAAAAGGAAAGTTGTTATAGGAAGCTGAACCCAGGTGAAGGCAGGGCTTGGTGTAGGACAGAAATCGTAGCTGTGACCTCAGAGCCAACACCTGTTCCAGTGAGGTGGCTTTGCTTGAAAGTTTATAGCTCCTCCTTTGCAATGGCTCATTTTATTCCATTCAGCAACTATTTGGAGGACAGCCACATGCCAGGCACCAAAGATACCTTTTCAGAGCTATACTACAGTAATGATCCTGTTTCTTTGTAGTGGTACTTCCTACACCATGACTACACACATCAAGCACCTCCCTCACCTCCTAAAGGTACAAAAGGTGCGTTAAAGAAATAATCTTTTTTAAAAAATTTTTAAATTTATTTATGATAGTCACACACACACACACACACACACAGAGAGAGAGAGAGAGAGAGAGAGAGAGAGAGAGAGAGAGAGAGGCAGAGACATAGGCAGAGGGAGAAGCAGGCTCCATGCACCAGGAGCCCGACGTGGGACTCGATCCCAGGTCTCCAGGATCGCGCCCTGGGCCAAAGGCAGGCGCCAAACCGCTGCACCACCCAGGGATCCCTAAAGAAATAATCTTGAATGAAACAAGGGAATAAACTGCTGCTGCCTAGCAAAGCCACACACACAGGCCAGACATGGACATCCTTGCCTGGTAAGGTGAGACAGGAGATCTGTTCCTGAAATCTGTCCACAGCAGGTACGTTCACTGCATTGGTGCTTGTAAGATAATACCACTACTGAGACATACAAACATTTCTAGGATGGATGCATGCCTAGGAGCATGTTTTTTTTTTTTTTTGTTTTTATTTTTATTTTTTAAAGATTTTACTTATTGATTCAGGAGAGACACACACAGAAAGAGAGGCAGAGACACAGACAGGGAGAAGCAGGCTCCATGCAGAGAGTCCTATGTGGGACTCGATCCCTGGACCAGGGGGACCAGGGACCACACCCTGGGCTGAAGGCGGCACTAAACCACTGAGCCACCCGGGCTGCCCAGGAGCACTGTTTTTATTTTGATTTTTTAAAGATTTTATTTATTCATAAACACAGAGAGAGGGGCAGAGACACAGAGGGAGAAGCAGGCTCCATGTAGGGAGCCCGATGTGGGACTTGATCCCGGGTCTCCAGGATCACAACCCAGGCTGCAGGCGGCGCCAATCCGCTGTGCCACCGGGGCTGCCCAGGAGCACTGTTTTTAACCAACAATTGGGCCTCACCTCATTTTTCTGCTTAAGAAGCATCTTCAAGATCTTCTCTGTGAAAAAGAAAAGATAAAAGCCCCCAAACACCACTGCAGACTTGGAGACATAATAATCTTCGAGAGGGTTGAAACCAAAAGCCTGTGGACCCAGGAAAACAAAATGAGTTTAAGAAAATAAAAAATCTTCACAGGTCCCCGCTTGTCTCTTAACCACTTTCTTATCTAGGACTGGAAAGAGTGGTCCTCAGTGGGGGTAGCTCTGCTACCTACCAGTTCCTTCCCTTCCCAGCAAAATCGAACTCCTGACTTTCCTTTAAGCCACATCACCATGCCTGTTAGGTTCTCTCTAGCTTATTTTCAGATGCAAAAGACCGATCCTCTTTAGAATTTTACTGTCAGGAAGAACAGCCCTTGGATATGGTGTTCCACTTTTAGTAGAGACTGTTTTCATTTTTCCTGGTTTTCTGCTACAAGGGCACAATCTGCCTGCAAATTCCATCCTTAAGAAGACACTTGTGTTTACTTTCATTGTTATCTAATGTCCCTCGCTGATGTGCTTATAAACAAAGAGCGATGGTATAATTACGCTTTCTAAAATGGGAAATCCATTCCCCAGTTAAATAGTAAGAATTTTGGCATCTTCCTGACCACAGACCTCCCAGTGACCACAAAGCCAAGAAAGCCAACTGTGTTGCTGCACATGCCAATTTGGGGAGTGGGAAGGGAAGGGGGGGTTGTTTGGGGTTATTTCTGGAAACTTCAATGACCACGGGGGTGGAAAAAAGCAATCTACTGGGAAGAGGACTGGAATAGGAATCGGGAGAATTCCATGCTCAGTGACGCTCCTGACTTGTGGTGAGGTCTTGGGAAGCTGGCCAGTGAAGGGCTCTCTCCATTTTCAGACCGGAAACAAGCCTCTTGAATAAACCCACCTTCTCGTGTGGATAGGTCAAAGATGAAAGTGATCCTAAGTACCAGGAACACTAGACTGCTTAAAAGGTTAAGTGTTTTTCCTTTCTGTTTTAAAGGGGCAAAAACGCATCTCCACTTGCTTGTGTAGCTTCCTAAGAGATGTAAAGGTTAAGTTGTAGAGTAGAAACGGCACATGGAGGCCGACTTTCCAGGAGAGGCACAGCATCTCAGAAGAGTGGAGTGGAAACCGCCAACTAACAGTTCTCCACAAAGGCATGGCCTTAGGAGTTATGAAACCTGGCCTCTAGGATATGTGCTCTTGTTCTGTATCCGTTAAATGGGTAAAACGTTACTAGATCTCTAGACATTAGCTGATCTAAGAATCAATCAGGGAAACAGAAAATCACCTCTTAGAAAACACAAGGTGCTCTAAGAAGCAGCAGGCGGCGTCATGTTTGTGCCAGACTCTGGCTATGCCCAGGCCTGTCAGACCACCACAAGGAGACGCCGCCCACACACTACCACAGACGCTGCACCAAGTCAGATGAAGCTTCTCCACGGCTGCCTGCCAAACCCCACAGGGACTAAGTTCTCTGGAGATTTTCTCAGTAACCTAGGGAATGGGGCAAAGGTGCCATTAATGTACGTGAAAACCAGGCTGCTTTATTCAGATTACCTTTGCCCCAAAACAACCTACTGCAGGGAACTGATCTTTTTACTGAGACCTATGGATTCTGTTGGTTTCTCTGCTTGTGCCACAAGCTCCAAATTGGGAGCCATAAAGCAATCTTAACTACACTGCATCTTCTCACCCAGCAGTTAGAGAGTACATAGCAGGCACCCAGTTGACTTACAAGTATTAATTCACATAGCCCTCACAACGTCATCGTGAGGCCCATCCTATCATTTGCCCTGTTTTGTATAGGAGGAAACAGAAGCCCAGAGAGGTCCAGTGACATGCCCAAGGTCAATGAACTTGTCAAAGGTGGAGCTGGGATCCAACTCAGCTCCCAAACCTACATTATGTGGTCTTTCCTAACTCGAGATTCAATCTCAGCTTCACCTTCCGAAAGGAAAGGACCTCCTTCCTATGCCTTGCGTCAAAGTGGAGGGTCCGCCCACTGTGCCCCACAGTCCCCCCCAGAGACTGGCATGCTCCTGTGTGAGAAAGCCCTGGCTTGTCATACCTCGGGGATGAGCTGGAAGAGGGCGTTGGAGTAGAGGGTTCCAATCGCCAGAGCTATGAAGTAGAGCAGCAGCCTCTTGTAAAAAGTCTTCTTCATGAAGGGCACCACGCTGGCCCCCATGAGGGAGCAGAGGGAGATGACGGTCACACAGAGGAGACCATATCCCCACACTGCCGTTGGGGGAGAGCCAGCCCCACCCGGGACAGGGAGCAGGGCAAATGCCCCATTTCACAGCAACCACCATTTAGGGGAAACACAGGGTGGAAAGGATGGGGAGGCAATGAGGAAGGTTTGGGTGGATATTAACAAGGAAAACAAAAAGAAAAATCAGAGAGACAAGTAGGGAGGGAGAGAGAAACAGAAAATTTGTTAGTGATTCAGGTCTGATGAAATTTCCTTCAATCAGTTCAGGAGAAATGAGGAGGAACTCAAGGTGGCCTTGGAACCCTGTGGCTGCCGCTTCTGGTGGCCCGAGTGACACCTGGAGGTGCACCTGCCAGCTGCTGTGGCTACAGGGTGGGGCGCCGCCTCGTCACACAGCTGAGGTGTGCTTGGGCCTATCCCCAGGCAGCCCATGGCAGACTTTGGACTTGAGGGCTCTCTCTTTAATAGGAAACAAGATCAAGGGGACAAAGAGAGCTCACGGTGCTGCCGTGTTTGCTTTCACATCCGGACCATTCAGTACCACCTGGACTCGGTTGGCTTTGTGCAAGATACAACAGGTCAGAGGTGCAGGGCGGCAGGAGGGAGAACAGGCAAAGCCTGATGCCCATCAAATTCAGCCTCTTAACTTCTCAGGGTTTGTGTTTCGTTTCTTTGTTTTTCTCCCCAAGTTTGTTGCCATTTGCTCTGAGAGCGCTCCAACATACAGGGCAGAGTTCCAAGATCACCTTGTCACAAAACAGTATTTCCTCTGTCATTTCCTAGCATCCCACACTCTAGGTAGGATGAAATGGAGCCAGGATGAGATGCATGCCCCTGTGAACCACAGGGGCAGAGAACGTACAATTATTATATTTCCATTCAATAAGCAATACGGTATTTTATTTCAAATCTTTAAAAAATTAATAAATTCAATGTCTGGAGCTGAAAAAAGAAAAGCCCAAGATGAGGCCTCCCGTGACAAGTGTTTGTTAGATTTACGTGGGATTTTGAGGTAACAATGAGATGGTTCCTCTTAAGCCAGATTTCTTCCTTCACTTAGAACCAGGAAAGGCCCAGGAATCCCATTGGCAGCTCTTCTGGGTAAGAGTCTTGATTGGGATAAGCTGGGCAGCCACTGACACCGGCTCTTTTTATGAAAGGCGGCTGCCCCTGTTCCCAAAGGCGGCCCACAGAGTCACCCCGACCACATGGGCACAGCCTTGCCAGAGCTGACAACGTGGGCAGACCATCAACTTGGGTCTTCTTTTTTTTTAGCTCCTCACTGGTCACAATTAAAAAGCAAAATTAACAAATATTACAAAACAGTCAAGTAAGGGCACCAGGAAGTCAGTCCTATCCCAGGAAAAAGTCAAGATGCAAGGTAAAAAGGACTGAGAGCCTCTTTTCTTTGTCTCAGAATTTTAATTTTGTTTTGTTAAATAAAGTTTTGGTTCTGTTTGGTTCTCTATGCTCTGAATTGTGGCCTACTTGGAATAAAAAAAAAAAAAGGATCACTTGCTTTTGAAGCCAATTTTATCGATCAGTTGGTAGCCTCTTTTCGTTCCATCTCTTTCCATATGGGGGATCTCTGGGTGGCCACACCGATTACAGCCAGGGCCTCTACTTAGAGCAGAGACGGCACAAAGGACCAGGGCTCAGACAGTGACCACCAGCTGCAGCGCTCCTTCTGAGCCCTGCAAACCGGGTTTCAGAGAGGCAGCGACCAAGGAAAGGAGACAGAGAGATCTCGGACAGGGAGGGCAAATTCGGAGTGCCTTGCATCTGACATCACCTGAAGAGGCCACAGGCCAACCTGGGTGCCCCAGGAGCAAAAAGAAGGCCCTTGAGATCCAGAGTTTGAAGACATATTGGTGTCCCTTGATATGAGGGAGAAGTGAATTTTCCAGGTGGTGGCTGCCAGGTGCCTCAGGACAAGGGGGTGGGACAGGGCCATGAAGCAGGGCGGCGCAGTGGCCAGCCCCCGGGGAGAGAGGACGCACAAGTTTCTGTTCTACTGCACCTCTGGGATGAGCTGGAAGAGCGCGTTAGAGAACAGCGTTCCAATGGACAGGGCGATGAAGTATGTGAGCACACGGCTGAAAAATGCTTTCTCCGTGCACGGCAGGACGAGGACTCCCAGGAGAGAGGCCAGGTTAATCAGTGAAACACTGAGGAAGCCAAAGCCCCACACTGCGGAGGAACAAGAACAGATGGGGGCCTCCGTTACTGAGGGTGGGGGTGTTCCTCCTGCCTGGGGAGGCCCGTTCTCAGTTCAGCTACAAGTGGGGCAGACAGAGAACACCAACCCATCAGCACGTGTTTGTTGAGTCCATCTCTGGCGGGATGCTGTGGGGAAGCCTACCAACAGCACAGCAGTCGCTATCAAAAGCAGCTTACCTGTCAGATGGGAGAGGCAGGTGAAAACAGGAAAAGTTTAAAAATCGGGAGGGAAATGATGACAGCAGGAAACAATGAGCACAAGGCAGGCAGCACGTGCTAGGCACCAAGGGGTGGGCCGCGGGCACCAGCGAGGCAGGATTTCAGGGTGATGCAGGCCCATGAAGTCGCACAAGCTCATGGCCACGGTGAGTCCACTGTGGCTGGAGCAGAGGTACTGGGCAGGGCGGGGGAAGGGAGGTGGGGGCCAAGGGCAGCCAAACTGAAAAACGGAGGCATTAGTCCCTTGTAGTTACAAAAATGAAAAAGTGGCCAAGGAAAGCATCATCCACAGGCTGGTCCAAAAGGCCAGCACTGAACGTTCAACAGCCACACCACTGGGTCCAAACAATATGCCAGGGCATCTTGTGAGCGCGGGAGATGCCAGTGCAGTCATTCCTCTAATCCACTACCCCAGTGTGGACGAGCTGCTCACTGGTCAGATCTGCCGCGAGCGGCACCGTCCATTAGCCCGGCAGTCCACGCGAAGACCTGCACGGCCCCCGGCCCCTGCCTTCTTGCCCCAGCTCACCTTCGATCGCACTTGGCTTCCCCTCTTCTATCTGCTCATCCTCCTCGTTTTCCTGGTTCTCAGAGGAGCAGGCTCGGGAATCCAGCTGCTGGAGGATGGTGGGACAGAACTCCTGGAACTCGTTCCTTCCGATCCGTGACTGGTTGCTCAAGTTGTGGGCAGCAAAGAGGTCTCCAGAGCTAAAGCACTGAGGCAAAGGGAAGAAGCAGGAAGCCTCTTAGGATCCAAAGTCATACCTCGCCCCTTGTCACCACGGACTCGGCCTTGCAAGCATGGAAAACAAAGATGGGACCTGTCCCAATCCTGGGGAGTCTGCAGACTCATCTCACGGGAGGAGAGCAAGGTAGTCCCTAAACTTGGAAAACTTAGAAGTATAATCTCAGCATCAGTCACCCAGTGAAAGTCACACACCTGACACGCACGCACTAGAACATGGCTGCCCATGAGGTCTGGGAACAGCTGGTTTCTAATCTTTGTGAGCAGGGTGTGTTTTTTGGAAAACATGATTCTATTTGCATACCTGAAGATATAGCTTCATCCAGATACCAAATCTGCCCACACATCACAACAGCCTGAGGAGCTATTGTATCAAAGTGCCTATTTGAGAGACTTCTCCAGAGCTACTGAGCTCCGGCATCTAAGGAGGTCTCCATGACCATATACGTAGTGTTGACCCCAGCCTGAAGAATGTGTTGACAGTGATTAGGGGAGGAAGGAAGGAAAAAAATAAAGATTCACTCTACCATGGAGCAGGCAAGGGCTGGTACAGGACATGAACACTCAGTCCCCTTAGGAGGCGGTTAGGGAATGGTTCTCACATACCGTTCTCATGAAACACTGCAGTTTTACTTCTAATTATACTTTATATACTTACACATCAGTCTTTATCTATCTGAGGTGGTTTAATACGGGTCAGTCTCTAACAGCCCTCTGGATGTGCTGACAGGTGAGAGCTTCTGGGCCCACAGAGCAGAGGGCTGGACTCTAGTGACCTCAAGACACTGCTGCCATGCCAGGAGGGCCTCTGGGGTCTGCAGGAGCCTATGCGGGCAGCCTCCTCCCCAACTCTGACATTACCTCCAGCCTGTGGTTCTGTGTCCAGGCTACCTGGTCCCTTACCTCTACAAAAAGTTGTCTTTCAAGATGAAGTCCCTGGACACCTAACCCACGGACCTTCCTTGATCACTATAGCACACACACCCCACTCCCTCTCTCGTTTCTGAGCCCTATGAAGAGTGTCCAACTCACAGCATCTAACTTATTTATTTAATTTATTTATGACAGAGAAAGAGAGAGAGAGAGAGAGAGAGAGAGAGAGAGAGAGAGAGAGGCAGGCAGAGACACAGGCAGAGGGAGAAGCAGGCTCCATGCAGGGAGCCCGACATGGGACTCGATCCCGGGACTCCAGGATCATGCCCTGGGCCGAAGGCAGGCGCTAAACCGCCGAGCCATCCAGGGATCCCCTAACACTCCATTTTAAAAAAAGATTTATTTATTCATTTTGAGAGAGCACGAGAATGAGAGTGAGCGAGCATGGGGGAGGGGCAGGGAGAGGGAGAATCTCAAGTAGACTTCCTGCCAAGCGTGGAGCCCAAAGTTGGACTCAATCCCACAACCCCAAGATCATGACCTGAGCAAAGTCAAGAGATAGATGCTCAACTAACTGAGCCACCCAGATGCCCCTAATACTTCAGTTTATTATCAGATAACTTTGTCCTCAGCTGGTTAAGCTCTCCATCTTGACAGCAAACTCTTCGACATGACTCATTTTTCTCTATTTCTCGCAGCACTCAACCCTGGGAACAGAGCAGATATATAAAGACACTGCTGGCTGACTTACATTTGGCTGCCACAAATAGCCTCAGACTATGATTAGCCAAGATGACATGGAAGAAAGAACAAAGAACGAGAAGCCAAGGACTTGGGTCTTAGTCCTGAGCTGTCCAGGAACTCACTGTGGGACCCCTGGAATTCCCTTCTAAATAATGAAGACCTCCCGCCTTCTGTTGGAGGTACTGTGAGGCTCCCCTGCAACTGCAGAGAGGCCTTGTAGAGCATAAACACTGAAAAATGCTCAGCTTGCTGGCGGGGCCAGGTGATCCCACTGTAGCTGTGAGGAAGCAGGTGGAGGACTAAGGAGCCTCACTGGCTGCTTCCTCCGGTAAGGGCTCCAAAACAGCCACGTGGAAGGACAGGAGGTGCTGCTGGGGACCCAGACTAAAAGGGAAGAGCTGGCCCCTCTGCTCTGCCATCAAGGCTCGTCTGTCCCAAGCTGCTTGGGCTACTCATGCCTGATGGGACTGTGACCCCCCCACCCCGAGGGCAGACAATGCTCAGCAGACCTGACAGCCTTACCGTTGAGAGGTTTCTCTGTCCGTGCAGGGTGTGGGTGACATTGTCCCGGCCTACCCCCACATCCAGGTGGTTGAGAAGGGCCTTCAGCTGCTGCAGAGTGAGGCTGTCACCCTCCCCATAGCGATGCAGGAGGTCCTGCAGGAAAGAGACTGCACTGATGGTTGGCGTCCCTGTGGACAAAGCTTGAGCTTCAGGAACAGCACTCCATAAACTGAGCAGGATCAGCTGGAAGCAGTTAAAGGCCACTGGGTGTAGCAGCTTCATGGTGACAAATAAGCCTGCAAGAAGGAGAGGCAGGTGAGTGAGAGGCTCCAGAAACCCACCCTCTCCTCTCACTTCCCCACCAGATGCACCAGACCCAGCAGCCTCAGCTCCACACAGCCTTCTCTCCCCTCTGACTCTTCACCCTTCTCTAAAACCTCTGCCAAACTTTTGAGAAAAAGCATAGAATAAAAAAATGAAAGGACAAATCAACAGATTTGACTAAATTTAAAAATTAGAACTGTGATTATGCTATAAAAATTATCTTTTTAGAGATACTTAAATCACAGATTAAATGATATCTGGAATTTGCTTCAAAATAACAAAGGAGGGGGTATTTGCACTAAGAGCATAGATGAAACAAGACTCGGCATGAGTTAATAACTCATGAAACTTCTTGATGAGTGAATGGGAATTTATTATATCCCCCCTCCTTTTTTTTAAAGTAAGCTCTACACTCAATGTGGGACTCAAACTCCCCGAGATCGAGAGTTGCATGCTCTGCTGACTGAGCCAGCCAGGCACCCCTATACTATTATTACACTTTTGTACATTGGAAATTCTCCAAAATAAAAAGTTGCCTTAAAAAGAAAACACACAAAAAAACTACAACTAAAAGGGCGGGGGGGGGGGGGGGGGAAGTACACCAAACACGATGGGTTTATTTCTATACCATCTAAATTAGAGAATAAAAATGAAAGAATACTCTCTGGTTTGTTAGGAATACACACTTAAGGGGGCAAGAGGATGGGCGAAACAGGTGAAGGGGATTAAGAGGGTGCCAACTTTCACTATAAATTAAGACGGGATGAAAAGTACAGCATGACAGGCACATGATGTGATGAGCACTAGGTGTTATACTATATGTTGGCAAGAATTGAATTTAAATAAAAATAAAGTAGTAATAGAAACCTCTTAAAAAAAAAGTACAGCAAGGGGAACATAGTCAACACTACTATAATAAGTTGGTGTGGTGACAGGTGGTGAATACACTTATCGTGCTGAGCACCGTGTAACCTAAACGTCAAATCACTATGGTCCACACCTGAAACTACTAGATTGTATGTCAACTATACTTCAATTGAAAAAAAATACGAACTTAAAAGATGGATGGTGCTATATTGCTGTCTATTACAGCAAAACAGATTTCAAAAAAATACAAAACTGAATGTTAGGTGAAACAACAGAGTAGGATGCTGCCGGTGGCTAGGTAAATATCGAGACTTTTGAAAAGTTATAGGACAATAAACGGGCTCCCTGCTCATCCCTTTCCCTCTCCCTCTGCTCCTCCCCCTGCTGGTGCTCTCTCTTGCTTGCTCACGCTCTCCCTCAAATAAATTTTTAAAAAGCCTATAAAATTGATACTAATAAAGCAATCCAAAAATAAAAAGGTTATAGGCAGAAAGTTATGGTCAGGTGAATTATACCAATTCATCCAATAGTATGGAGTTTAATGTTAAGCAAAGAAACAGAACGATTATGTAAGAGTTAGGCTGTGAGAAGGAAGAGGGAAATACAGGCCTGAGAGATAGCAGGGGTGATGATGATTTTCTTTCGTTAATCATTTCCCTCAGTATAGTTATAATTTAATTAGGGAAATAAACACCAGGTGGGGAAAACGAGCCTCCTATTTAATCTAGGCCCAGGAACCCAATCACTGCAGGGGTTTCCACGCCTCCCAGGCTTCTGGTGCCTGGGCACGCCCCATAGTGGATCACTCCACCTCCAGGCCATTGCTGGTGACATTGGAGCCAGAGCAGAGTGCTTAAGAACAGGCTTGTTTGCACCCTGGTTCTGTCGCTTACAAGTGGTGCAATGTTGGCCGATAAATTTAACCAGAGTCAACATTCTGGAATCAGAGCAGTGATGCAGGAACACCCAGCTGGCTCAGTCGATGATGGAGCCTACCACTCTTGATCTAGGGCCCCATATTTGGTGGCTAGATTACCTACAAAACAAAATCTTAAAAAAAAAAAAAAAAAAAAAAAAAAAAAAGTAGTAATGCAGCTTACCCTGGCCTTTAGTGTCAGAAAACCTGGTCTGAATTTCTGTGCCACTGTGCTGGCCAGATTAAGTGGCCTTGGGCAAGTTACTTGGGCTCTCTACTTCAGTTTTCTCTTCTATAAAATGGGTACATACCACACTGGATTATTGTGAAAATGTAATGACATGAGCTACGGCAAGTCACCAAGGGCCTGACGTATAGAAAGCACTCAATCAAATGTTATAATTTTTTAAAGGGATTTTTTTTCTTTTATTCATGGCCTAGTTCTTTTTTTTTCTTTTTTTAAAAGATTTTATTTATTTATTCATGATAGACATAGAGAGGCAGAGACACAGGCAGAGGGAGAAGCAGGCTCCATGCTGGGAGCCTGATGCGGGACTCGATCCCAGGACTCCATGATAATGCCCTGGGCCCAACGCAGGTGCTGAACCACTGAGCCACCCAGGGATCCCCTCAAATGTTATAATTTGATTATAATCAGCAGAGTTCCTCCACTTTGACTCCCATCCCAGGTCCTGAGCTACGCCTAGAACTATCAGGAATACCCCTGTGGCTAACTTTACTCCAGGCCCACAGAACACACATCACACAATTCTCCCAGGGGACATTCCAGGCTTTAGCTTTCACACATGGGACATGCATAGATCTGGAAAATCTCACCCTTCAGTGGAATGTCCTTTGAGTTACACAAAAGAGTGGATTAGCCATCAGAACAAACAGCAGTTTTGTAAAGTGTTACTTTGAGGTTAACAACTCTCAAATCTACAGAGAACCAGAAGTTCATACAGTGAGCAGGTGGGATCTTATGCCAAAATGGCTAAAATCCAATGTACAAAGCAAATGGTTCTCTACCTGAACACCCTGTCATCTGTCTGAGACAGGTGTTGTACTATCAAAGGAGAGCAGGGCTGTGGATTTAGCAAAGGAGGGCAAAGAGATGATAAGGGCAGCAGCTGGCTTCACTAGTGCCAACCCTGCTAATAAGCACCTGACAGTCACAGATGCCTTGGAAAGAAGTTGGGATGCTTATCTTCATCTAATAGATGAGGAAACCCGGTTTCAGAGATTAGGAAACATGATCCATGGCCAACAAGTTGAGCAGTGAAGCTAGAAATTAAATTTTTCATCAACTGAAGCCAGGTCTGAATGAAAGGAAAGTCCATGCACTCTGAACCATTTCCCCGCTGTATGGAGACATAAAATACATGCCCTGGCTCCCCGAGGAGGCCTGAAACATCTCGCATGTCTCCTAGGCAGGGCTTCCCAATCTCTTTAAAGATTTTTTTAAAAGTAACCTCTACATCCAACGTGGGGCTCGACCTTACAACTCCAAGATCAAGAGTCGGCACATGCTACTGCCTGAACCAGCCAGGCACCCCAGCTCTTCCCAATTTCTACCACCCTCAGCAAGCACCCCAAAGCCAAGCATAACGTATGCTGAAGACCTGCGCTGAAGACCTGCACAAGAGACCCCCCAGGTACACCTTAGAGGCCAGGCGGTGTTACGGGTACCTTCCTAATAAACAATGGTTCCACTTCAGTTACATTTCTCACATTTATCTGCAGCAACCTCAAAACAAACACAAAATCACTTCAAGTGTGAGACACCCCACAGAACTTTAGCAGCTTTACCTGGATTGCCATTCATTTCAAAGTCAGCATTTACAAAACATTTGCTCTTTGCCAACTCCCTGGCCGGCTGGCACAGCTCCCCAAGTGCATGAGTAGGTTCAGTGAGTGGGACCCACTGCCTGACCCAACACTCACGACACAACCCACCCCTCAGAGCATCTAAAAACAACTGGAGGGCAGGAAGAAGTCCTGGTCCAGGGATCTTGGAGTTGCTAAAAGACACTTCAAATCCAAGTGACCCTGGCCTTTTGGTAGACACAAAAGGGGAGCCTTCTGCTCCAATAGAGATTTTTTTTTTCTTTAGCTCCCAGTTATTCTTTTTTTTTTTTTTTAAGATTTTTAAAATTTGTTTATTCATGAGAATACACGGGGTGGGGGGGTGGAGAGGCAGAGACACAGGCAGAGGGAGAAGCAGACTCCATGCAGGGAGCCCAACGCGGGACTCAATCCTGGGTCTCCAGGATCACCCCCTGGGCTGAAGGTGGTGCTAAACCACTGAGCCACCCGGGCTGCCCGCTCCCAGTTATTCTTAGGGGGGAAAAAAGTTTATGAAAGATTCTTTGGAGGAAAGAAAGGAGAGAGGAAGAGAACACATAGAGTTCTTGATGCAGATGGATGGTGGTGCTGAGAAGGGGTCATCGTCACCTTGTGGGCCCAGCTGCAGGACAAGTCCAGTCTCTGATGGCTATGGAAATGGGCAGGCCCCTGGGTGGGCCGCTCTGGTCTTTTCCAGGGAGCCAAGCCAGCTGCACTCAAGGACACCTTCCAGGAGTCCTAAGAGAAGCGCACAGGGCAGGAAAACAAGCTGGAAAGAGACAAAGGTTTGAAATGTGCTCTTGGCTCAGAGGACCAGGCTCTCCCACTCAAGAGAAGTTGGAGTCTCTCCACTCCTTTGTTCACTTGGCCTGGGTTCAAAGAAGTCAATTATTTTAGTGCCTTTAGGTCTGCCTCCAAGGCGCCAGACCCAGCCCTTCTAGGGGGAAGTAAAAAACCCCCAGGGAGAAAGTCAGTGAGAGACGCTTGCTTTCAGACCCTCTGTGAACCTTCAGGTCTCTCTACCATCTTGGGGGCTCCTAACTCCAAATTCCACCTGCCTGCCATCCATCCATCCCTTCACTTGGCTCAGAAGTATCTTATCCTAAACACAGCATTTCTGTGCTGTGGACATAGTTTCACTGTTGTATTTACCACACTGTTGGTTTTCTATGCCCACCTCCCCTGTCAGACATGAGCAAACACTGATTTCTCTCTATGGTGATACAGTGGCACCTTTTCCTGATGCTGGATCTTCTAGGCCTCCCAACATCCACTTCCTTCCCTGACTACCAGCTGGCCCACCGTTCTCATTCTCAGATACCTCTGAGCTGAGGAATGAACAGG